TGTGCTTGGTTGTCTGTCTCTAAGTGTAGCCCTGTGATAGACTGGTGACCTGTCCAGGGGGTACAGATGATGGATGTATTTAGGTCATATTTGCCCCCCTGATGATTTCACAGCAAACAAATGTTCAGTAGTGAAATAGTGGTTTCTGTTTGTACAGATAAAAACCTCATGGTGGCAGTTTTAGTACTTGTTCTCAGCTAAGAGGTTAAAAAGGAAAAGATGTGACAATAAAGTTTGAAGGTTTTTTTCTTTAAAGGCGTGACAGAGTGTTCAAGCGTCGTTCAACAACATCAACAAAATAAACTCAAGCATGTGAAAAGATCAGACATCTGCAGTCATGTTGAGGGCTGCAGCTGTTCATCTCAGTTCATCAATTAGTCGTTTACAAGGAAACAAGTGGAGACAAAAAAAAATAGGATATTAACATATAAAACTGAGCATTTCACAGGTTGGAATCTGCAAACGTTTCACAATTCTGATTCAAAAGTAAAATAATGAAAAGTCAAAGTAACAGCTTCAGTTTTTCTCTCCAACTGTTAAAATGTTAAAGCTTCATATTTGGAATATTCAACATCAGTCACATGATTTCATCTCTCTGGTCAGCTTCTGTTGGTTTTAAATGTGATCAACTGGTCGACCAACCAAGGCACTTCTGGCTACAATGATCTGTATGTTGAGTCTTAAGACTGACGCGCCTCTTTTTTTTTCTCAATCCAGACAGGCTGATCCAGATTTGTGCTTTTTTTTTTAGATTTTTAGCTTTGTTTCTAAAATTTATGTTGAATATGCTTCCTGTATGCTATTTTTTAAAATATTTAAACAAACAATTTGGACTGTTGGTGTCGATGTTACACATAAAAAAAATTAAATCTGGTTTTGGATCTAATTCTGTGTCTCTAGCAGTATTTAAACTCTGGTCCACTTTGTTCTTTTCCACATCTCTGTAGCGACACGTAGCAGCTAAACGCTTGTTTTCTTTTCGTAACGTGTTTAATTGCTGTTTTATTTTGTGTGACAGCAATGAAAACACTGCAGGCAAATTCTCTGTATTTGTTCACACCGACGACGCTGATTCTGATTCTGATTCTGAAAATGGACCTTTTGCTGTGTCCTCTTGTGAAACGTTATACTTTGAAGGGAATTTAAATGCAGCTGCAGGTCGTATCAGGAAATCTGTGTTTGCAGGAGGAGCAAAAGTTCAGCTTGAATTTGAGGTTTTTTGAGGCCAGAGACTGATATTTGATTAACGAGAGTCAACAGACTGAAGTCACAACACACCACGGTGAGTAAAAACACAGTGAACGCTCTGTCACCGCCTTAGTGGGATGGAAACGCACACAAACACACACTCTGACGCACACGCTCGGCGACACGACGGCTGGTCCGCGCAGGTGGAGGTAACCCAGGCAACAGGAGGAGGAGGAGGAGGAGGAGGAGCTTCTTCTTCCTCCTCAGCTCCGGATCAGCGTCAGGAACTCGTCGCGGGTTTTTGGATCTTCCCTGAAAACTCCCAACATGGTGCTGGTGACGGTTTTGCTGTTCATCTTCTGGACGCCGCGCATCACCATGCACATGTGGCTGCAGAGAACAAACGACAGCAGGCGGAAGATTAAAGCTACGTTCTCAATCACACACGGGTTAAATCCACCTCCGTACAGAAAATCTTCCCGCATGCACATCTCGGATTGGGTTGAAAAAAACTTGACGATAGAGGTCTTTCATCAAGATGCATAATCCCAAGTTTTAGGGTTCTAACTTTGATTGCTTTTGCTACAACACATTTTTTGTATTTTTTACCAAATTTGTGATGAGAACTTAACTTTGGATGACAGGTACAGACTTCAAATTTAAAAAACAAAACAAAACAACAACAAATTAAAACATTTAGCGTCAACATTAGATTTTTTTTTTTACCATGACAAGTTAGGAACATTCTCTTTCACATGACATCAGTTATGTGCTGGTATCATTCATTGGCGCATAAAGTTGAGTAAAATTGTGATACCTCAAATGCCAATATCTCAGAGGCTATATGTGTCATCGTCATGACATCTGGTATATTAGAACATCCCATGTTGGACCATGTAACACAGAAATTTCAGACTTCTGCTGTAAATCCGTTATGTTTTATGGGGGTACAAAGATGGTCTTTTTATGTAGTTTTTGCCAAATTCGTGACGAGACCATAACTTTGGATGACAGCATTCAAATTTGTGAATATATTTAGCATAAGTAAGTAAGTAAGTAAGTAAGTAAGTAAATAAATAAATAAATAAAACGTTTCGAGTCAACATGTGAAAACATGTGTGCAGCAAAACCAACTGTTGCTTATCCCAGCATTTAATGCACCAGACGATAGTTTCTGGTTTGCTTCAAACTCGATTTCAGTTTCCAAAAAGTTCCTCTTTGTCACGCTCTTTCCCACGACGATGACGTCAGGTGAGGGGGTAAAAGTATTCACTCAAGGCAAATTATCCCCAAAGTGCTCGAGCATGGAGGCTAAGAACAGGTGGGATTGATCAACATCAAACATGCGTTTGTGGGTCGTACGTACGTTTGATAAATACAGATTTTTTTGCACTTAAGCACGCCCTACATTTCATTTGTAAGACAGAATTTAGAACCTTTTCTACACACTGATGATACATGAGGGCCCAGAACTTGCTCAACACTTGTGCAGAAGAATGAGAAAGTTCCCTGGAAAGTTCTCAAGTAAGAGGCAAGAAAAAAAGTTCCAGACTACAGACGAAACCGCTGAAAAACACCAGCAGCGTTCGTCACCGATCAGCAACGGTCAGTTCTGTAAACCTAAGCAGGAATTCTTTTAGTGAAACTTTAACTCAGATCCTGATTTCTTTCATGTACATGAAAAGATTCTGCAACGAAGACAAAGCTTTTGTAAAACAAGAACAGAAGCTGAGTGAAGAGAGAAGAAGACACATTAAAGGGCCTTGTGTTGACAGAGAGATGGAAAGTCACAGAATTAGAAACCAGTCTCTAAACTTATATACTTCACTTTGTGTTTCACGTACGTTGCCTCGATGACGACGCCGACGCCGGTCGGCTGCAGGGCCTCGGTGATCGCCACGGCGATCTGTTTGGTCAACCTCTCCTGAACTGTGGACACGAGACGAACAAACAGTCTGAGCAAACAGCAGCCGGCCGTCAAGGACGGAAGTATTTAAAATCATGTACTGCTGTGAAAGCAGCAGCGACACAGAGTTAAAAATACTCCACTACCAGTAAAAGTCCTGCATTCAAACTGCTACTGAAGGAAACGTACAAAACACTGTTTGTTCAAAGTGAGAATATTTATGTGAGCTCTGGCTGACTTCTCCTGGAAACTCTATGATTGATTATTGCATCGATGCCTTTACTTCATTAGTCAGAGGTTCAGGTCCGTCCAGAGGACCACGAGACAAACCTCATCTTAGCTTTCATGAGAAATAATCGGAACAATTTGGACTAAAAAAAATTTGACTTTTTTTTTTTTTGATCATTTCTGTTAAAAACAAAAGTTTTAATCTTAAAAGTCACCACAAACTCCAGCTGTCAGATAAAGTAAAGATAATCACCTCTGACGAGTTCATGAAAGTCCAGAGTAAAATAAAATGTAATTCATGAAGCAAAGCTCATCAAACTAGACTTTGGTCAAACAGGAGAAGCTTGTTTGGTACCTTGTAGTCGACGGCTGTAGATTTCAACGATCCTGAAAGTGAGAGAAAACGTTAATGCACAAAATATTACAAACAAAGTGATGAGGAATAAAATAAAATGACAACATCCATCCATCCATCATCTATACACCGCTTAATCCTCACTAGGGTCGCGGGGGGGCTGGAGTCTATCCCAGCTGACTTAGGGCGAAGGCAGGGAAAATGACAACAAATAAATAAAATAAAGAACCACACGTAAGACAGACAACCAAGGCTTGGTTTTAAATTTATGTAAGACAAGAAAAATCTACTGACGGAGGAGGATTTTACTCAACCTGGCAACCCAAGAACTCGTCTCAATAACAGATAATCACTGATCCATAAAGTATTAGTACATAAATAACTAATAATAATAATAATAAAGTCTTATAATTGGTGGTTCAGACACACTGAACAGTAGTAATGTAACACGATGAAGTGATAAATCATACAATAAAAACAACAACAATGGTGATATTAATGGTCCCACAGGACAAACGAGTCGCTTTTAACAACTTATTTCAGTTTCTTGAGTCTGTTGGAGCAGAAACTCGTTTCTGCATCTGCTGGTGTCGATAACAACTTCAGTGCACGTCGGAAAAAAACAAAATCATTCCTTCAACAGTTCGGTTTTTAACCAATGAAATGTTTTCTGTTGCCGAATTTCACTGGAGCTGCTGAATTTTCTTTCTTTTTTTCGCCACATAAAGATGAAATTCAGTCGTAATGTGGAGCTTTTTCCCAACTGAAGGTTTAGCAAAAGCACAAAGAGTCCTTTTTTCTTTTCCAAAGTGGAGGATCAAGAAGCAGTCAGTGACCAGCGGAGTCTTTTTAAATGCTAGCTCATGTCACATCTGGTAAACTGGATGAAATCAGCAGCTCCATTCAGAACCTCCTGTCGACCCATTCAGTGGTTTTACAGCATCTCCCAACCATCACCGTGGTTCTGCCCTCCGACCTGCTGCTCTTCTCTGTGACACAAACCTCTTCAGACAAAACGGACCTGCTGACCTCGGAGAAAATGTCACGAGAGCCGACGGGCGGCAGAAGAGGAGGACGAACCGGACATGAATGAAAAGCAAGAAAAAAACTAAAAGCTGCAGCTCAGATTTTAGCAGCACAACAACGATGACGCCTCCACCCTGACAGCAGCTCCGTTACACCAACCGCTGTAGACGTTAAAGCAACACAGCACGTTAACACCAACACGTTAAGCCAACCTGCTTCCAACAGAGAAACCAGATCGATGTTACAAACTTACCTGACAAGTTAAAAGTGTAATTTATGATACACATTTTCCTGAGTAGCGTAAATTCAGGTAAAATTAATTAAAATTAATTAAAACTATATAATGTAAAATGAGTAACTGCTCTTTACCTCCTTTAAGGCAGCACTTAGTCGATGCACCTTTAACATCAGTTTTCACTTTGACATGAAACAGTCTTTTTATAAATTCTTGTCACAAAAGCCAAATTATATTAATTATATTAATTATATTAATTATATTCGAGTCTTGGCCTTTTAGTTTAGTCTTTATACACCACATAGAAACATGTTTGGTATCTTTCTTTTCAGCACAACATCCCCTATATGATCTGACTCATATTTTATTTTATTAACATTTTGGGATCAAAAACACACAAAAAAAATTCAATTCAATTTGAAAAAATATACTATTACAATAAAAAACACAAACATGCTTAACGAAGCATTTTGAAAGTTGAAAATGTAAACATAGGTCACAGATATGAACATGAAAAGGTACATTTTGATATTCAATCAAACTAAATGCAAATATTTGCAGCTTTATACGAAGCAGGTATGGCTTTCTTTCTCTTTTTATCGATGCCACTCCTGAAAATAGTTTATGTCCAGAATGAGGCAGACGGCCACATCACAGGAGCTGCACTTTCAGCGACTTTCTTTCACTTTCGTTTTGTAAAACAGCAAAAAATGACGAAGACGTTGAAAGAAATGCAACTCTGGCAGCACATGTTTCATACGCTTTACACACGTTTTTGTCATACATGTTCATAACATCAGATCTCCGGTTTTACGTGGTCTGTCAACATAAAACGAAAACTGAGAGGGAGGTTAAAGTCTGAACTTTCAAGTGACGATGAGTTTTTCCTGCTGTGACGTCTTGAAAGCGTGACGGTGGACCTCTAAGGGTTAACCCTGGTTCACTGTTGAAAAGCAACAACACCTTTTATAGCCGCCGCTGCTGCTCCTGACAGTATTCTAAGTATTTTTTTGTTTGTGCTCACATCAGCCTTTTTTTAATTAGCGCCACCCAGTGTGCATCGGCTGCTACGACAGTTTCCAGCAGCTCCAGACCCTCGTTTCTGTCTTAAAGGAGCGAGTCGGCGTTGGGCAGAGTGTTTATGTGCAGCCAGCGCCGTGAGCAGCACGATAAGCCTGAAGGTATTGGGGTCAGTGGGATCAGATTCTACTGTAGTACACACACAAGTTTTATTAATCAGCTTAAAGACATGCACGCACACACCTACAGGGTTAAAGTTACTCACCTGGCCAGCTTGCTGAGGCCCAGAACTCTCTTGTTGGGAAGGTAACCGATGTGAACCTGCACAGAGCGACACATTCAAGGTTAATCCTGCTTCAGTCTGCACGAAGACGACTCGGTCCGAGGTCGGTTTCTCTAAAAGATAATCAGCCCGGGATGTTTGTGAAACACAGAAAACACTTTCTGCTGTTCTGACGGTTTATCAGGAATCCTTAAAAAAATCTGGATGAAAAACATTCTTTCAGTGAAAGTGATTTTCAACCTGTTTTCTAACGAGCAGCTATCAGGAGGATGTACTGTGAAGCCAGTTGGACAAATCCAGGATTTCTTTGCGTTAACCGACTCGACTAAGCCTAAACTCCAGATCAGGAAAAATCAATTTTACAGCTTTCTTTGGTAAAGCAGTTTTTTTTTCTAGACTCACGTGATTCTTCTTCTGCAGAATATGGACCAATCGTGTGCCGCCTACGTTAGTTAACAGGTTGCTGTAATGGTTAGCTAGAAAACAGTTGGTCGTGTAAGTTAATATATTGATTTTACTGACCAACGTAGCCGCTTATTACTAACGTGACAGCGGCACACTGGGCACACTTTAAACTTCACACGCTTAAACGTAGAGCACAACGGATTTGCAGAAATATAACAAATTCCCTGCAGGAAATGATTTGGTTAAAGGGAGATGTTTCTTGCAGTTTATGTAAATCCCAAACTCTGGATTAGGTTAGCTCCACGGCATTGGTTACCATGGTGATCTAGCAGGTTGAAAACTCTGACTTTAGGCTCAGCGTGGCTGCTAACCTGCTAATCTTGCATCGTAGCACAGCCCTCTTCTGATTGAGAAACTAAAACTTGAAATGTATTTCATTGTGCAGCGGACGGAATATTTTTCAAGATGAATTCCTAAAATCATAATTTTTCAGAGAAACTGAGGGTTACTCCAGTGAATGTAAACTGGGAGCTTAAACTTGCAGAATATTTTTGTGTTGGTGGCTTCTGTGAATGAGCTTGAATGAATTGAACACACGTGGTGCAAGAAAAAGGCTTAAAGTCCAGGACTAAGCTCAAACTAAGCATGTAGGTGATCATGTTCTGGCTTTAAAACAGGGAAATATAAGCAAATAAGATCAAATCGACCTCGATCTGACAGTAAGGATGTGTGGAAATGAAATAGACTACAGCACATAGGAGTACGGTGGAGCCTGTGGTGAGAAAACCTGTGCAGCAAGCGAGAAAGGTTTCTGATGTTCCAGATATGAAAGAAATTTAGAAGAAAGGTTCGCGATCTTGAAGAGAAAGACGTCGAAGCGTACGACAAACTTTAATCGTGTTGGTGTAACTACTGTCACGGCCACAAACGTTCCACGCTGTAGATTTAAAGCTTAATATTCAATTTAATGCAAGAATCATGAGTTAAACTCTTGTTAAAATCCATCAGCAGGTTCATTCTCCTCCTCCAAGCTCCTCCTTCAAGACTACTAGTTTAAGCGATAAGTGGAGTGAACACGATGCCGTCTGTGGAGGAAACGTTTCCGGTGGTTTAAGACGAGAGCAGAGCAGGTGGACGAAGACGAGAGGAAGAGGCATGACGAGGAGGATGGAGAATCACTGCAGGCTCTAATTCTTTTACACACTAACACACACACATGTAGCCGCACTCAAATGTCAAACGCAATTTGTCGACGAGACGAGAGAAAGGGCAGCAGCAGCAAGCATGAAAAGATCTTCTCCTCCTCCGTTTTATTTCCCATCCTCCCTCTGCGCTGCAGCGTCCTGATACTCCGACATCAAACAAACTGACTTTTCCACTTATCTGCTCATTCATGTTTCGCGGCACATGCTGAGTGACAATGAGGCAAAGTTTACATAAAAGGACTCGTCAGGGTTCCAGCAGCCTGCGTTTGATAAAACAGTGATTTTTTTAATCCATGTTTAAAGTATAGTTTTGGTTTTACAATCTTCTCTGATAAAACCAGTGAATGAAATGGTAGATACAGTAAATGCAGAAGAAAGTGATGCATTTAACCGTAAAAAGGTTTCTGACCTGATATTGTCTTTTTGTTTTGTCTGACTCTGGCCGCTGATTTCAGGCGACTTTTACTTCACTTGAACCTTCAACCGTTTTCAAAGAATCCAAACGACGACCTCCAAGCAGCGACCTGCTCACTGAAAACTGCAGCTTTTACTGAAGACGTGAAGCTTTCATGCAATAATTCAACCTGATTCATTTAGTGAGTTGTTTTAAAAATCAACAAAGAATGCGTTTACAACATTCGCTGCCTAACCGGAATGTTCTTGTGTGTTTTGCCTGCTGATTATGGAAAAAGTTAAACTTTCCGAGCACGGCTGATTGTCTGCAGTGAGCTAGCAAACGTCAATAAAGACAGATTGTGTGGAAAGTCACGGTTTTGGCAGTTTGCTCGTTGACGGTGATGATTCTGGGTATCTGCAGCGTAAGACGAGCAACATCCAGACAAGAAAATAGCAGCCGGCCCGTATTATTTTGTACACGGATCTCTTGAAGTATCTGTTGGCAGTGACAGATGGACCATCCTGCAAACATCCACGTTTAGAGACGCACATGTGGTAATATCAGTTAAATGAAATTCTGCAAGAGCCACAAACATCTAAAGAGTTGAGCTGAGTGAAGCTACAGGCAGGCTTAACCTGCCGATTATCAATTTATGTTTGTCACCTTTTACAGTGAAAGTTTGAGCGCAAAGTCAACAGATGTCTTTGAATGGTTTGTGTGACGTTTTCTCTTGCTGTTGTAGATTGTCTGAGCCCCAAATCTGATCTGAATCATTTATTATTTAGTATCTGCCAAACCAATCCGACACCATGCTCCCAGATAATAAGTATCGTAAATTAGCTGTAGTACCTGGTTGTTCCACCAGGTGGAGCCTCTTTCTGTTTCGTGCTGTAGTGAACAGAGAAGGTGCTCAGTAGGAGTTCAGCCAGTTCCTGCTCAAGCAGAGATCACTGTGTGGGTTAAGCTAGCAACGGGCAGCATGACAAAGATTTCAGTCACGCTTAATAACCTCCAGCATGTGTTTACAACAAGCTGAGATCAGAAAGGACAGAAAACACGTTTGTTTCTGTGATACGACCTCACAGACATGAAGCTGCTGCACTTATTAAAACTATCACGTATCTGCCGTTCTGTCGTTTTGATGCTAAAAGCTGGTTATAGAAAAAAATCAAGCTGAATGAAAATGAGATTTTGGCTTTAGATTGTGACGTTGGCAGTGGATGTAAAACTGATTTGGTTGCAGTTTTTAACAGCTCAGATGTGTTTCTTTACGGTGAAAATGTCTATCTGCTGCACTTATAGGGGCTCAGAAGAGATGAAGAAAATTGTGAATTAAAAAATTAATAAAAAACGTCAAAGACCTGTAACTGGCTTCATTAATATGCTGAAGTCATTGTATATAAAAAACGCTCTGGTTCTGAGGAAGTCGTCAAGTTCATTGATTGACTCTAAAGTCTAACCTTAAACTATAAAAGTGTTTTTAATCTGAAGATGCAAAAAAACACACAAATAAATGTAGCAAATAAAAGTATTTATACACTGATCTACTTGATAAATAAAAGCTATTATTTGTATTTTTACAAACATCCTCGCTTTACTTTTGAAACCATTATCTTTGTGTTTATCAGGATATAACGCGGCTCAAAGGTCTACGAATGTCTCAAACAGAGTTCTCAGTCTCAGCTGTATCAAACCATCAATCCTGCCTTTTTATTCCCCGTTTTATCAAACCACACCGTGTCTCTCTCCAGCTCGTATCAGTTTGAACATCAACACTTGGCTGCTTTGTTTGTGTCGCTGATTGTTCCTGAGTCTGAGGCCGATAAGCGACAGGTGTGTTCTGCTGCGTTTTCTCTGACGGCGTCTCTTCTGACTAAACTAAATGACAACCTGCAATAAGGTGCACCTGCGACCGCTCGTCAAGCAGCTGCTGCCAGCACACTGTTAAAAATAAACCGTGTTAAATTACAGATAATGTTTAGTAAAATCCCAGAAAAAAACTTTTCACTTACAAGTAAAAAACAATTAAAAAAAAATATACGTCTACATCAAAATCTGTATGTGTACAAATGGTCTTCCACCATGTTTGACTGTAAATTTATCTTTACTGTCATAAAATCAGCACCAGAAAAAAGAAGTGTTCAGATATTTGCCATTATTTGAAGGAAAACTTTGAAAGAATTTACATTTTTTTAGCTGTTATTTCACTGATTTTCCCTGTTCTGGTAAATCACAGATCATCTCTTCGTATCTCATCTCTTTGTAGAAAAATTCTTAATTTACACGTTTAGTATAAAAATAATTATTACAATCTTTCACAATGTGTAACTTTAACTGTATTTAAATAAACCAATTAATACCTCATTATTTTACAGATGCCTGTCATGATTGTCTTGATTTTTTTTTTAACATTATTTCACAGTTTTTTGAAAACATTCTTGTATGTAGTGTCCACTGTAAAAAAATCATTAACAATTATTAACATTTTTTTTTGCAGATATTAACTGCTATTTTTACGCTTGTTTATGTATTTTATATATATATGGACATTATTCTACCATTTTTAACGTATTTTTTGCACCCTGATTTTCACAGTGTTCTCTTACCTAATGTTGTGTTTTCTGTTTTGTTTTTTTGCAGTGTACCTACACGCTGTTTGACTGACAATAGACGACTGACAGACGGTGACGGGGAGGTTCAGGAACAAACTACCAGAGCAGCTGAGTGTCGGTGTGATTCACGGCTGTCATCAGAGCCCATTTACGGGGTGGAAAAGCATCAGCTGCAGCATCTATTGTCTTAAAGAGAAGCACCTGCAGGCGGAGACGGAGGATCAGAAAGAAGGAAGAGGCCAATCAGGCTTTAGTGGAGAGTAATGATGTCAAAGCAGCAGAGAGGAGCCGAAAAAGCACACACAGATAAACAGATCCCAGATAATCAGATTGTTTCTTGTGTTGTTCAGACAAACAGCAGCCTGCAGACAAACGTGGCAGACAAAGCGTTTCTGAGCTGCTGCTTGTTTCAGGCTGTTTCTGTTCACTAAACTATTAAAAAAAAAAAGAACTCACCTGAAGGTAAAAAGCAGGTTTATTTATGTGCAAACTGTTGTAGTTTATTGACTCTCAGGCAGATCCAGCCTGTTTAATACTGATGTATATTTCTGTTCATATAAAAACCGTAAAAAAAAAAAAAAAAGTAATAAAACTGTGAAAATCATCAGGTAAACCCCGGCTGATAAGATAAGGCTCAAGTAAAGCTTAGTTGGCCTCTATCGCCATCATTTTGGATGTAACTTTAACAACTGGCCTAATTTAATAAGGAAACAGTTGAATAGAATAGAATAGAATAGAAAAATACTTTATTTATCCCAGTCTGGGAAATTACTGTGGTACAGCAGCAGCAAGAAAAAAACACCAATCACAACAGAAAATGAGCTAAGTTAAATACTATTTAAAAAATTAAAAATGAAGTTTACGTCGGTGAAGCTGGCAACCGCTAACACTCACAGCATATCAGCAGCTGCTGTCTTATTTTTGAAGCTATTTTAAGTAATTTCATGGCTTTAATCAGATTTGAATGTATTAAACTATAAATTAGTGATATAAATATAAATGTGAACACAGATTCCGGCTGTAAATAATAATAAAACATAGTTACTGTAATTCCGGACTATAAGCCGCTACTTTTTTCACACTGTGGCTTAAACAATGATGCGGCTAATTTATGGATTTTTACAATTTTTATAAATTTGCCTCGAGACAAACGTGACACTGAGCGCGACGACGACAGAGAGACTGAGGAAGTGTGTGACGAAGGAATTCTGAGGCTGTTTGACACTGAAGACTTTAGTGGTTTTAGTGCAGGAGGAAGATGAAGATAGCGATCAATGACTTTTCCTGGTAGGCGACTGTATTTTTTATTTTCTTAACCAGCCGTATTACAGGCACTGTTCAGAAAAAAAAGCATTTACGGTTCGTATTAGTGTGTGTTACTGGTACGTATTTAATTAGAAGTTAAAGAAAATCCTTCTGTGTGACATCTTTCTGTGTAAATATCTCATGTTCCAACGTGGACACCTGCAGCTTAGAGACAAGTGTGACCTGTATATGTACAAAACTTGTTTTCTTTCTAAAGTTAGTGGGCGTGGCTTATATTCAGATGCTCAATAGTCTGGAATTTACGATAACATCCAAAACAAAATAGTTAAAATCTGAAAAAGCAGAGTTTTCCTGAACATTTCATGAAGATGATCTGAATACAGAAAGCAGGATGTGTAGTTTTTAATATTACAGCAGGTTAAAGAGGAGAAAGTAAATCATTCTGAATAACCTCTGTGTACGATGAGGTGCCAGATAAATAAACACAAATATTCAAAATACACATGTTTTAAAAGGAAATAGACATTGTTCTCATGGGGAGTGTCTTTTCCTGGTTTAGTCTACTCTGTTTTTTTCCCCTATATATACCATTAACTTCCACTAGAACGAGCTCATGTTCAACCTGCTCGGTGTTTGTGTGTCTTTGTGTGTCTTTGTGTGTGTTTGTGTGTTTGTGTGTGTGTTTGTGTGTGTCTGTGTGTGTTTGTGTGTTTGTGTGTGTGTTTGTGTGTGTCTGTGTGTGTTTGTGTGTTTGTGTGTGTGCGGTTCTCTCACCCTGCCGAAGATGGGAACCAGGTGATGCTCACACATGGAGAACATGTCGATGTCTTTGACGATCACCATCTCGTCGTGGTCTTCGTCGAAGATGGCGTCGTTCAGCACGTCTGAGGAGAAAAAGCGTGCGGACAGAACACGTGATGCTGCGTTTATTTGTGAATTTGATATGAAACGTGCTTTTTAAAAAATAAAACAACAAATCTACTGACAAATTTCTGCTTTTAGTTTGGTGTCTATCCAATTCCCAGATGTTCAGAAGAAAACCCCCCTGCATCACTTTCTGCTGCTTCTTTATCGTGTTTCTCTTTGGCTGTCTAATTATAGCTCCTCTTCCTCTTTCCTGCTGTTGCTTTATTGCGTTTTTTTGGTTGCCAGGGTTCAATAAACCTTTTTATCTGTCTGTGGCGACGGAAACGCCTCTCGCTCTCACTGCACCAGATTTTAATTTCCTGACTGGTTATCTGCAGGAGGTGAGGTCACCCAGACAGCACAGCATGGCGACTTGTTGCTTCATTGTCTGCTGCTGGATTTGAAGGTAAACAGAGTCGCGGGCGGTTCGTTTAAAGCAGCTCCACACAACGGATTCATGATTCTTTCCCACCAACACGCTCGTATGTGAGTTTTGTCTCATGATCTGATTTGGGACTTTTAACAGAAGACACCAGATGTCCAGCAGCTTCCTGTTGATTTGGGTTTTTTTTTTAAAGCTCAGGTTCGAGCTCAGATGTTTTTTTAAGCCAAAGATTCATCAGAATTCATTTTAGATCCATTTACTGCGATGAACCGTCACACTTGTGCTGCTACGTAGATGTTCGCTGTCATCTTACAGGACATGTTGACATGCTTTAAACTTTGATATATTCACGTATTAGCAGAGCCGGCCCTCGGCATAGGCAGTATAGGCAAATGTTAAGGGCGCCGACATCCACGGGGGGCGCCACAAGCTTACCCGGCTAACTGACATGTATTCAGGCAAGTATTTGTCAACAAGCGGTGATGCAGTTTCTCTACCTTTAGCAGCAAAGACGTTACGTTAGCGTCTTAGCTGCTGACGTTTGCAGCGAAGACGTTACTGAAAACATTAGCGTCTTAGCTGCTAACGTTAGCAGCGTTAGCATCAATTTATGACGCAAATGTCTGCATGTGAAGAAAAATACAAAATACAAAATTGACGCACAATGATGAAAATCTTCCATGTTTTTATTGACGTTGAAATCTTTTTATTTTCATTAAAAACAAATAAAAGTTCACAGTAAATGTGTTCAAATTTTGACCTGATGATCAATAAAAAGCGAAGCTGATCACTGAAGTTATTACAGTTTATGCTGCTGTATTTTATTTACACCCTTTACTCAACAGATTAAAGCTGCGACGGCAAGTCGATTAGTTGAGCAACTTAAAAATAAAAACCGATATCTGAGCACTTGATCAAAGTTTATTATGATTCTGGCTTCCAACAGCTGTGAATATAAGACAATAGAGATTTAAAGGATTATTTCTGCCATTTTTGCACATTTGCTTGTTCCTAAAAGTCATAACGAGGTCAATAAATACACAAAGTCAACAATTTAATTTAATAATTTTGGTTCCAATATTGACCAGAAGTAATGGTGAACAGGGTTGTTGACATAATCATGCAGCTCGACTGCAGCTATTTTCATAAACTACACACTCGTTTGTCTCTTTTTCTTAAATAAAATGTAATAAAAAATAAATAATTGTTCAATCTGTTGTGTGTTATCTACCTGTAAACTGTACGTCTCACAAAACAAGACGTCTGTTAAAAGGTGCACATCGTCTCTATTATCAGAATCAGAAATACTTTATTGATCTGCGAGGGGAAACTGCTTATTACATCTTTGTTTTTAGTCTTGTTGTGCTTCCTGCCTTGCTCCTTTCATGCCTCATTTCTATCCAGCTGCTGTCATTTTTCCGGATGAGGGATCAATAAAGTTTATCTTCTCTTATCTGGGTCGGTCTGCGTCATTTCAGACAACAGCTGCTCCCATGTCTCAGAGTTTGTTCACCGTTTACTTATTTGATATTTGACTGAGTTCTGTAAAATATTTCAGTTGAATTTTTGCAACTTGAATATGTTTCCAGACCTGGGAGTATCCGTTAAATAAATACCACACCCAGGAAACCATTTTAAAGGTTCAGTATCTCCAGAAATATTCCCCTCGGAGCCATGACATTTAATGAAGACTTAGAGAAAATTATACTAATGATTAAATCACTCCAGCAGAGGCCATTGTTTGAATTACTGGACCTTTAAAAAGGAAAAAAAAAACGTACAATATGTGGATCTTCATACTACAAATAAAGATTTTAGGCTGCGGGAAGCTGGAAATGACATTTTCTGTAATTTTCTGACATTTTACAGACTAAAGATTTAATAATTGAGAAAATAATTTGCAGAATAACTGATTTCGAGACATTTAACTGAAATCTACCCACGAAGGCGAGAGAAGAAAATCAAATGTAAGACTTCAGGCTTGATCGTCTGCACCATGTTTTGTACCCGTGTTGGGATGAATTCACTCTTTGGTGGCGCAACAGGAAATACAGGCATCTCTGGAGTCGGCAGGGTTCATCCTTTCACAACGATTCTGCACGAAGTCGTTGAGATATTCCAGTTAAAAGAGTTTCTTCCATTTGAATTCTGTTTGTTGAATCAATTCCAGGAAACTCTTTGGAGTTCAGACTTATTCGCCGCAAAACGAGAGGACGTTTTCCTTCAGGTTCACACTGTAATAAAGTTTCATCCTGTTTGAAAGTTTTGTAATCAAGAACAACAGCAAGACTGTAGAGTTAACGGCGCTGCTGCTGATGTAATGATGCAGGAAACAATACAAGCAGGAACACGCCCACTAATTTATCAACCGTTTCCCTTTGTCAAATAAAAACAGAAAGTAAATGCAAGTTTGCCAATCCTGGGGGTAATAAGGTTTTAAAAAATATATATTTTATTCATCTCCCAGACGAGATGAGAGCTTTGCAGCATTAATTCATAAAAGTACCTAAATGCTCTGTTCATAAACGACCACATCAGTGAAAAAATAATTAGAAAATGACTGAAATTAGACGCTAAAACCAGACGTTGCTAATTATCTATTTGAATAATTGTAAATTTAAATTAAGTTAATGCACACAATCGAATACAAAACGTGCAGATTGTGTTTCGCCACTCACAGCACGTTGTAAATGCTCGTTAGTGTGAGAGGAAGCAGCAAAGCAGATCTGCAGCGTTTTTAGCTTTTTTGTTTGTTAACAAATTTGTTAACATGTTGCAAATTAGTCCATTTAAAATATGCAGAATTATGCATCAGCTGTTCATGTTTGCACATCAATCAAATCAAGTTTATTGTCATTTTGCTGTACACACACAGTAGCACAGGCAAGACGAGAGAGCGTTTCCTTAGGAACCAATAACTAACGTTCACTTTCGTTGTCTCCTGAAGGGGCCGCTGCGTCCATTCGCGTCGCCATCACCATGGCAACAGGATACAGATACAAAGACAAGTCACTTTGAGACTAAAACTTAAAAACGTAATTATATTCAAGCAAGTTTTGCAGTAAAAAATGTCTTTTTTCTACGTTTTTTAAAGCAGGTTGATGACGGACGAGCAGTGGAGACGATGAAAACCTCAGGAAGTGTACGTTTAACTGAATTTCACCTTTGAGATTGTGATTGTTTTTTAGGGGTTTGCAAAGTCCTCAGACGTCAACCTTCAGCTTGGTGACTGCAAAGGTTTTGTAAATGACACAAATGATGAATGAAACCAAGAAAATAGGAACTAATTGTAGTAAATAGGACCTCGAATGGGTTTTTCCGCAGCATCCCTTCGCGTAAGTTGCTGTTTAACCCAAACTAAGGTGGTTGTCATACATGCAGGCTTCAAAACGACTAAAGATTTAGTAGAATACCTACAAATGAAAATAGCTGCACCTTTACAATAGATGTTGTGAATGCTACCTACAGAATCATCCTTTAAGGTCGTTTCCGTGCTGCTCATTACAGCTTCCTACAACCAGCAGCTACAGCAGCAGAAACACAAGCCCCGAAGGAAAACAACGTTAATCAGCCTTAACTAAATAAAAGGGCAACTGGTGAGGACGACCGTCGGGTCGGACGCTCTGGGTGACAGAACGACGAGGCGGTTACCAGGTAATGACAGCGTTACTCATCATCAGCGCTCACACTCGATAGCGCTGCCTCCTGTGTTTGTGTGTGAGTGAATGAATCGTGCACTCACGTGTTAACACGCTCTGAATGAAGCAGGAACCGGAGTGAATAAACATCTCACACGTGTTTAAAAGCGGCTCTGTGTGAAGGTTGGAGACTCCTATCATCATGCAGTACGATCAGGAAACTTTAAGACATATAAAAAATAAAAAATCTTTTAATCACAGTTTGTGTCTGATGTTAAAAAAAAATCTGGTGAAAATGCAGAATCTATGAAGCTCTCCCATAGTTTACTGAGAAGTCTGCGTCTACACTGGAGGTTTCGACTTTAATTCATGTGCTGCAGAGTTATTATTGGCGGCAAACTATCTGTCAGAGAGGACATCAGAATAAATCGTTTATTTTGAAAAAAAAAGGGGAAAAAATGAAGTTAAAATCCTGCATTTGTGTTTCTCTTTAAGCACAAAAACACGGAGCATCAACATGTACCTGAAGTCAGAAGAGCTCCTCTAAACTCGCCTTTAAATCGTCTTGTTATCACTGATGGATGAGTGTGAATATTTTTCTATTTTATAAACTGATGGCGCGTTTTAAAAGGAAAACTGAAAGCATAAAACTTTGGGGACTTTGATACTTTCTGTTTTCCGAGGTGCGAAAAAACTTTCCCATGACGCACAGAACTAAACAGAAAGTCTCATGTCAGTGATTTACAGTCAGAGCTCCGGATTTATCAGCAGTCATTTCAGATATTTACTCTCATGTCGGACTGGAAATAAACTGTGTGAAGGTTGTAGACTCCTATCATCATGCAATACGATCAGGAAACTTTAACACACATAAAAATAAAACAAATCTTTTAATCACAGTTTGTATCTGATATTTTTTAAAAAATCTGGTGAAAATGCAGAATCTATGAAGCTCTCCCATAGTCTACTGAGAAGTCTGCATCTACACTGGAGGGTTCGACTTTAATTCATGTGTTGCCGAGTTATTATTGGCGCCAAACTATCTGTGAGAGAGGCGTCTGATTGGACCCAAATTTATTCTGCAGCGGGACAACGAGCCCAAACATGCAGCCGCAGTCATGAATTGCAACCTTTAGGCACGTGAACAACACGACGCCCTGCAGGAGACGTCCTGACCATCACAGGGCCGTGATCTGAGCATGGTGGAGTCACATGAAGAGCCACAAGACACAGAGACACACTGGACCCCCTTAAAAACCCTCAAACCTTGCACATGTGTGCAGAGAAGAACTGGTGCTGTTGTAAAAGCAAAGGTCACATTTTTTTCCCCCTTTCTGCAGTTTTTATGACTTCAAATGCACATTGATCATTTTCATCAGCTGTGTCTTTGCCTGATGTTGCTCGGCAGCCAAAAAATAACAAACATAGTTCAGTATGTGTCAGTATGAGATTAATTAATAACTAAAAACTGTCCACGGCTTTAATCCTGAGCTTCTTCATGTTCCTCTTAGAGGCTAAAACGTTTGCACGTGATTGTATCTGCACGACATAATCTCAGCCAGCGTGTGTGTCCAGGAGTCGCCTCTGTACGCTTGAACTGGACACACAACCTTTGTGTTTGAGCAACATTTACAACCAGCTGTTTACTCCTCAGCCTCACATCCCATAATATTCTGTCTTCCTGATGCGTCCAGATCTGCTGCGTCTCAGGAAAATTGTGTTTCCGTCTACTTAACGACATTTACCGACTATTGCATCCGAGGACTTCCTGATGCTCTGCGCTTGTTTTTTTTTTTTTTGTGGTTGGAGGCTACAAAAGGCTTTGGTGTTGCCAGGCAACCGCACTGACAGCTGGTGATCAAACGTGTCGGTTACTGTGCTAGCTAATGGTACGTTAGCGTCGATTAGTGTGGTTGTTGTGTGTATTGTTGGACTGTGGTGTGTTTGAACTGTGGACACTGGTTCGTAGACTCTTATCTGTTGTCTTATTTTAACGTACACAAAGAGTGAATTACTGAGATCTGGGAACACTCGTGATAAAGTTATGTGAACATCAAGGTTCTGAGGTTTTAATGTGCGCTCAGTAACACACTCATAATGAAAGTGAAAGTGGGGCAGATTTGACAGGTTGTTTATGTTGCTTACATTTTTGAAGATTGCTTTAAAGACAAACGTTATTTTTTGTGAATGAAACACTTGTTTTTATAACAAACAGTAGAAAAAGATCAGTCAGACGGTTGAACAGCTTTTGAACAAACCTCCAGCTCAGACAAACATGCGGCAGATGGAGATGACCAGCTAATATTTTTTTGTCCATTGAGGAATTTTCAGAACTCCTTTCCAAATACGGTGGTTAAAATAACCTGGATTGTTTGTTTGCGACCTGTCCAGCTGTCTGGATGCTTTAGTTCCTCCTTAACCCTTTGAATCTCATTTTAGTGACTACAGTTAATTTAATTGTACAATCTAATTGTTTGTGCAGAGCTCTGCAGTTAATTTGGTGAAAGCAATATTTTCATAACTACAACAAGAGTCCACAGCTATGCTAGCAGCTCTGTGAGGCTGTACTTGCTAACGTCAGCTGTGCTAATTTGACTTTGTTTTAGTGTTTAGTCGAAAATCTGTATTAGTTATAGTTTTAGATGTTTGATTTTTTTGCTTTTAGTCTAGTTTTAGCCAACAAAAGCTAAAAACATTTTATTCTACTTACTCTAGAGGGAGACAAAAGGAGCACCAGATAAACACGTCCTGCTAAATGCTAACTAGCCTAGCTGACCGAATAGCAGCAACTGCTAACTCTGTAGACGCTAATGTAATTTTGTGCGGGTTAGCGAACACTGTACTACATTTCATTTTTCCAGATCTTAATAATTATTTCTTATATGAAATACACAAGACAAAACTAAATCTTAAATCATAACGGGAATAAAACTGGAGCCCCAGATAGACAAGTCCTGCTAAATGCTAAGTAGCCTAGCTGACAGAGAAGTAGCAACAGAGCAGTAATTGATATTCCAATACAACAAAAATATTACAAAAGCTAAATCGTACATTGCATTGGGAAGAAAAAAAAGTTTATCGTATTTGGGGGAAAAAGAGCTCCAGATAAACAGTCATGCTAAAAGCTAAATAACCTAGCTAGTAGAGCATTTGTCGCTGTAGCCTCTGACTCTGGTTGAATTAATGTGATTTTAGTGGGCTAGCTAGCATTACATGACATTTTGATGCCTCAAAACCTTAGTTTGTGGTATTTGTTAATTGCATAAATAAGACAAAAGCTAAATTTTAAATCATATCAGGGAGTAAATAGTTAAATCCGATTCTCATGCTTTAAAATGTTAATAATTGACTTTTTATACAACATCAATAAGATAAAAGCTAAATCTTGAATCATAACTTGGAGAAAACATTAGCATCAGTGAACCGTGCTAAAAGCTAATTTATCAAGCTTGCACAGCAACTGTAGCCGTCAAGTCTGGTTGAATTGATGTTGTTTCATGGGGGTTTTGGTGACATTAAATCACATATTTACATGTGTTTAATTAAAATTTCATGTATCAAAGTAGCCAATTAGTTTAGATGTATAAGAAAACTGAAGAAAAAACAATACGCTTTCACTTTTAATTGTAGCATTAGCATCTAAATACTGTATTTTTGGAGGTTCTGTAAGGAACACTAGTATAAGAGGCTTGAAATTAAGCTTTTAAAATAGTTGAAATTAAGCTGTTTTCTGTAGTTTTTGTCGTCTGGGTTAGTGGGCAGATAGACAATCATTTCTTTAAGTAATATTTCAAACAAAAGGGGCCAAAATTTTGTGCCTCCAGCTTCTTCAATGCAAATATTCAGAGATTAAGTTTGAGAGATGAAGTTAAAAACGTGTGATTTTACTGAATATGTCAACTTGCATTTGATTTAATGACCTGGGTAACAGAGGCAGATCTATTGCTAATGGAAATATTATTCAGAATATTAAACAAAAGCACTATACAGACAACATCTTTACTACCACGGCAGTTCTGCTGCAACATTGCAGGTCAGAAGTCCTGTTTAATCTCTGCATAACTTTTCCTCATTACAGTTTTCTCGGTCATGCGCTCGACAGCAGGAGGATTTGAAGCTCAGGTTGTGATGAAAGCTGAACTCGTGACCTGCACACACACCGACACGTGAACGCAACGATCAAACAGCTCTGGACGCTGTAACTCTCCACAAACATCCTCAGCCTTCGATCTGCATGTGTTTTTCGTGTTCTCTGCTTTCCAGCAAGTCAAAGGGGAGGCAGCTGCAGGAGCCAATCGGCAGGCAGACGGAGCCCCGCCGCCGCAGCCTGGACAGCATCTAAACCGTCATCATCTGCACCGTCCAGAACCCAGGAGGAGCTTCAGGTGTTCAGAAGTGTTCAGGATAAAGAGCGTGAATCGGCTGCCTTCACATTTCTCTCCACCGCATTCCTTCCTTTAGCTTCGTAACACACAAAAACAACCCCCATAACAGCCAAATTACCTCCAGATGGAGCTCCAGAGGGGCAGATCCCAAACTCCAGCCACTCCGACACGGCGCAGCGTGGAGAAGCCGCCCCATGTGGCTGTGACACTGCAAATTAGACCTAAACGTGACGCAGCAAATCCTCTCTGGGAGGCCGGCCGGTTCACATCAACCCAACAGACACAGAGCGCTCAGTTTAATTTCAATACAACCTGTTGCTGCAGGTTAGATCCACTTGATCTGATCCCACAACATGAAACGGTCCTGCACAAGAAACGCACATGAATGCAGCAGGAAAAAGCCTCTTTGTCTCTAATGTGAAAGCTGATCACAAGCATTCAAAAGTTCCCCAAAATTCAAGTCTTCTGTGGTGGAAATTTAGACAAAAGGACACAACAATACATACAACCAGGGGTGCAACTAATAAATATCTTCTTTAGGGATTTATTTCAACAATTAACTCCACAAAGTCAAATCTTTAAGTGACTTTAAGTGTCAGATAGCAACTGCACTAGAAAAATCAGACAGAAACTCCAAACATATTCTTTCACTTTCGCAATAACTGTTTTTTTTTTTTTTTTGTGGTGCGTGCTCTTAATTTGAAATTGCACTTCATTTGTTTTAGTGGTCTTTTTGGTGAAAACATGATGGGAGCGATAAACAGGATTATAGCACCAGTCTAGGCTAGAAAAAGGGGTAAAAAAAGGCCAATATTTATGTCTGAAAAACCCATGAGCTGAAAGTAAACTGATCGTGCAAGTGCCAGTTTTTAACTCAACCTCTGTCTGCATCTGGAGGAATGATTAACAGATGTTTAGCAGAGGCACCAAAACCTGCTTTTAATTACATTTGTTTGAATTAATTTGTGAGGCACAGGCTGCTACACCTAAATCTCCTTTAGTTTTAATTAGTCCTGTGAAACTGACATTAGAATAAATCGTTAATTTTGAAATAAAATGGGAAAAAATGAAGTTAAAATCCTGCACTTGTGTTTGTCTTTAAGCACAAAAACACGGAGCATCAACATGAAGTCAGAAGAGCTCCTCTAAACTCGCCTTTTAAATCGTGTTGTTATCACTGATGGATTACTGTGAATATTATTCTATTTTATAAACTGATTTTAAAAGGAAAACTGAAAGCATAAAAGTTTTGGGGACTTTGATGCTTTCTGTTTTCCAAGGTGCGAAAAAACCACTGATTTCCGATGACGCACAGAACTAAAGAGAAAGTCTCATGTTTACAGTCAGAGCTCCTGATTTATCACCAGAATCATTTCAGATATTTACTCTCATGTCAGACTGTAAATAAACGTGCATCCGATGTTTTCCAGCGACTCTAAGCTGAATGTTCCTCCTCTGCTCTGCCGGAGCCGCCACCTGCTGACCGCTGCAGGGCAAATCCCTGAGCGGCTTTGTGGATTTAAACTCACCGATGATTTTCTCCTGGTAGCCCTTGGTGAAGAACTGCATGGCTGTGGCGGCCCTCCAGGGGGTTTTCAGGAGCCCCTGCCGCTGCGGGTCCTCCCCGAGCCCCCGCAGGATGGTGGTGTAGGCGGCGGCCAGGGACGGCAGGCTCATCTCGTTGTCCTCCACGCTCCTGGTGCGCTCGTCCCTCCAGCTCTCCATCACCCCGGCGGCCGCCACGCGCGACCCGGGCTCGGCTGCCGGCGCCGCGGAGCTCCGCCCGGTGCCGCCGGGAGCCCGCGTCACCATCCCGTCAAAGTGTCCGTTGAGCACCGAGCCGCCGGTGTCCCCGGAGTCCTTCTTGTCGGTAGAAGTGTTTCGAGAGTGTTTGGAGTGATCCATCGCTGCTGCTCGGTCCACGTGTTGCTTTGGTTGGTCCTCCGCTAGAAGCTGCTCCAACATCAGCATCTTCCGGAGCTTATAAACTAATCTACGGAGCGATCCTATTGGCTGAGAGAGGCCGAGGGGGGCGGGGCCACACCTCTTCTGACTCAGGGTGAACAGTGAAGCATCTTCCATCCATGTGGAAGTAACGGAGTACTGCCAGAGTAATCCAGTACCGCGGATGGAGGCGGAGAGCAGCCGAACATCGAGGAGGAGCGGCAGAGTTTCACTTAAAGTCACTTCTTGTCTCATTTTAGTTGTTTTATGCAGTTGTTTTGTGTGTTTTTAGTTCTTTGTGTGTCTCTTTGTGTATCTTCATGGTGCTGTCACATCTCGTTGTTGTTGTTTATGATTAATTTTCCGTCTTTGCTGTTGTTTAGTGTCTAATTTGTTGTGTATCTTTAAGGCTGCTATGTGTGTTTGTGGTCATTTTGTGCATCTTTACGGTCGCTACACATCATGTGTTGTGTTTCTGAAGCCGCTGTTGTGATTCCACTGAGGAGGAGCAGCAGAGTTTCACTTAAAGTCACTTAATGTCTCATTTTAATTGTTTTATGTTGTTGCTTTGTGTGTTTTTAGTTATTTGTGTGTCTCTTTGCGGTCATTTGTCTAACTCGGTTGTGCTTTAACGTTTTTTTCTACTATATTCCGTCACTAAGCTTCTGTGAACTCATTTGGTGTTCACAGTCTCTTTGTGGTCGTTTCACAATCGTCTGTGGTTTGATTTTTTGATTTTATTGATTCATTTCATATGTGGTGAAACCATAAGAGGAAACCCAGTGTATGGACACACACACAAGAGAAAAGAAAGAACACAAAATCAGTAACAGTAATATGAAATTATGCACATATATATATATATATACACACACAAAATACATAGAAATAAATCTATACCCAATATGCACACACAAACTGTTGGTAGCCCTCGGTTAATGAAAGAAAAACCCACAACGGTCACAGAAATAACTTGAATCTGACAAAAGTAATTATAAATAAAAATTCTATGAAAATTAACCTACAAAAATCAGACATTGCTTTTGAACCGTTGTTTAACAGAATTATTTAAAAAAAAAACAACTCATGAATTAAAAAAAAAAAACCTCAATTTTGTCCACATGTGTATACACACACACACACACACACACACACACACACACATATATATGTACACACGCATAACAATACACTTAGCACACATAACCATTGTAACATGTCTCTACAGGGGTCGGATCAACTTTGTCTAGTCGTAGTTGCTTCATGTCTCTTTGTTGTCGTTTTGTGTAAATCATCTCTCGCATGTGTTCAGTCATTTCTACATTTCCGTGCAGACACTAAGTTTCTCTGCAGGCATTTTGTGTCTCTTTGTGGTATTTTCATGTCTTCTTTTAGTCGTTTTGTGGGGTTTTGTAGTTGCTTTGTGTGTTTTTACATTTGTTGTCTGTCTCTTTGTGGTCGTTTCACATCCGTTTGTGGTCAATCTTGTCTTGTTGTAGTTGTTTCCTTTCTCCATCATTGTTGTCATTTTGTGTCCGTCATGACTTGCGTGTGTTTACTTGTTTGTTTCTCTGAAGTTGTTTTGTGGCTTTTTAGTCATTTTGTGTCTTTGTGGTATTTTCATGTCTTCTTTTAGTCGCTTTGCGTGTTTTTACATCTGTTGTCGGTCTCTTTGTGATCATTTTGTGTCTATTTGTGGTTGTTTAATGTCTTTATGGTAATTTTTTCTTACTTTGTTTTGTGCGTCTCTTACGGACACTCTGAAGTTTGGTTTGTGTCTCTTTTTAGTCATTTTTTGTCTGTTTGTGGAATCCCATTTTGTGAGTCTTTGTTGTTACTTCTCGTGTTTGTACAGCTGTTGTATGAGGTCTTGTGGTTTCATGTTTCTTTATTTTCATCATCTTTGTGGTCAGTTTGTCTCTTTGTCATCGTTTTCATGTGTTTTTTTTGTCATTTTACATTTCATTGCAGTCACCAAGTCACTGTTTTTGTCTCCTTTTTATCACTTTGTGTCTCTCTGTGGTATTTTTACGTTTTCCTTCAGTCATTTTGTGCATCTTTGTAGTTGCTCGGTGTGTTTCTACAGTTGTCCTACATCGGTTTGTGGTCATTCGTATCTTTCTGTAGTTGTGTCATAACTATTTGTACTCATTTTCCTCGTCTTGTATGCACTGTTTTAAATTTCATTGTAGTTACCAAGTTCCTTTGTAGTCATTTTGTGTCTTTGTCATCGTTTCATGTCTTTATCTTTTTGTTTTATTTTCCGTCTTTGCTGTTCTTAAAGTGTATATTTTTTTCCCTCTGTCTTTAAGGCTGCTTTGTGTGTTTGTGGTCATTTTGTGTATCGTTGCGGTTGCATTTCTTTGTTGTTTTACATTTGTTTGCCTGCCGTCTTGAGTTTCTTTGTCGTTTACGTCTTTGTGGTCATTTTTTTCCTCTGTCTTTCTTACTTTTGAATCTTGTGAGTTGTTCTTTGTTTAAATCTAAACTTTCAAACAACAAAAGTATTTCAAAGTCTCTGCAATTCCTCTCACGGTCAAAAACAGATCCGGTCAAGATGGAACATCATCATCATCATCATCATAACCGTGAAGAGTTTTTGATTTGATCCAACATGCAACATCCTGCTGCCTGAAATGCTCACTGGAGCATCAAATGTGTATTCATCCTCCACTGAAAATAGTCCCCCAACAATTCTGCTTCACCACCACGAGCTGAAAACTCTATTTTCTAACATTTTCAGCAGGAATTATTGGACTTGTTTAACTTTTCGGCTGAAAAGTAGAAAAAAAAGTCCAGAATTATTGAGACAGACGCCGTTTCTTAAACGTTGAACTTCACTGCTTCATGTAATTGTCACCAAAATGAAACGACAGACTTCAATGTGAACTCACATTTACATTTATTTAATTGTAAAAATACAGTAAATTGCTTTTCGGTAAAAACAAACAGAATGAAGTGCTCTCCGTCATGGACAGCAGAACTAGCAGAGGTCACTGATCCATCACAGACTTAAAGAAAAGGTTGAACACGTTTGGAGGACGAAAGGTTCCAACAATTAATTTTTGTTGAAGGCAAACGCCGACAGCTTGGAGGAAGGGTCCAGAGATTTCTTCTTCTTGGCACTGTTTTCATCAGCTTCTGCATTTTCATTTACGTTTTCCACATCTCTCGCCCCTTCGGCTCGTTTCCTCTTCTTTAGATCTGCTGCGTCTCCACTTTGGCCTTTCGCTCTTTCTGTCCACGACTGGAAAAAAAAAAAAAAAGGAAGAAAGAAAGAATGAAAGAAAGAAAAGGACATGAAACGCAGATGTTAATTACCGAAAAGGACAAAAAGAAAATTGCATTGTTCCTCCAATTTGCATCCCGGCTCAGAACACCTACGTGAGGATGACTAAACGCACACATGGACACTGAGGCGTGCAGTTTGAAATTGCATCCTGTCATGTATAATCACTATTGACAGGCTGCATCTCTTTGGCCCTGCTGGCTCTTTTCCTCCTCGTGCTTTTATTTATCTATTTATTTATTTTCTCCTCCCTTTCTCTCTCCGAGCCGAGACAAAAGGAAGCGTTTTCCAGGACGTAATGGAGCCGCGATGAATCATCAGGGCCTGCAGAGTGGACTGGCAGCAAACACACACACAAACACTCTTCACCTCCAGCGCCTGTCATTAACCCCCCACACACACTAACAGCACCATCACAGAGTCGGTGGAGCTCTGACGTCTTCGCTGTTCGACTCTGATTTTGTTGCATCGCGGCGGAATAACGCGCAACACAGGGTCACGTATTAAGAAGGTTTCAGGATCTCTCACAACTGAAATGCACCGAAAGCTGCGAGTCAAAGCAGCACTTAAACTGTTAAAAAAAAAAGTCCAGTAAAAGAGAGAGAAAAAAAAAAAGAATCTGGCTGCAATGGTGCCACAAAAAAATAAATTAAAAACTGTGAAATACTGCATTCAAAAAAAAATTGTAACTATAAGAACAGATAGTCGTCCTCATATGTGTTCATCCCCGTCCATTAAAGAAAAGGCAAAATTCACAATCGTCACTCAAATAACTAGAAACTGGAAAAAGTAATAATAAATAAAAATTTGCTAAATTATAATTGAGCGAAATAAGACAGTGCTTTTGAGTTGTGGTTGAAAAGAACAATTAAAAAAAAAAAAAAAAACTGTTCCAGACAAATTAGAGCACTTTGCTGATGAGCAGTGAAATCAAACCACCTGTCAACAGGTGCAGAAGTCTGACTGAGAGTTACAGAAAACACCTGATGGCAGTGATTGGCTCAAAGGGTTGTTCAACTAAATATTAGTTTACAGGATCCATCATGCTGGTTTTTGTTTTTGTTTTTTCTTTAAATATTTCTGTTGAACCACAATTCAAAAGCAACGTCATGATTTTTATGATTTTTTATTTATTATTACTTTTGTCAGTTTCAGCTTATTTCAGTGGCAGCTGTTTTTTCTTCTTTAATGGGAGGCTATGAATACTTTTGAGGACGACTGTAAGTATAAAATAACTGAATTGTTTGCATATTTAAATGCTCAAAATGTACTATCACAGCTGCACAGTTTGAAAGAACAAACCATTTTTGGATGTTGCACCAACAGCGATGCTTTTAAATGTGGGTCTCCAATTTATTAGGTATATTATAAAAAAAAGAAGACCAGCGCAAACTAGTAAATAAACACTCACTAAGGATGAAGGAAACATTTGTGTCTTGTTGTGAAAGTGGATATGAACAACAATTACGGAATAAAACATCTAAACGAGGGCGAGATAATCAGCAGATCAGATCATGAACACGGTCATTAGCTGCAGACCCTGAAACATCACAGGAAATTAATACTTAATAGTGTTTTAAGACGTCATCTTTAATTCATCGCTGAGCGGAACAGATACACGTCGAACCGGAGCAAAGCACACCTCAGCTGGTAGAAACCTGTGTGACTGAAAAGAAGGAGGGTTTCTAGTTTTTCAAGGTTTGGAATCATTTTCAGGAAACAATAATTGACAGATGTTGATCATTTAATTTGGATTTAGGTGTCAAATATAACTGTCTTTTAGAAATAACCCAATAAAACCTGAAGGAAAGTACCCACTATCCCACAATCTATCTGTCAGGGCAGACTTCACAGGTCCACCTGAGCCTTAGGTCCGAGACTCGGACAGATTTGGATCCAAATCTCTATTAAGCAGGTCAAAATTATAGCTCACCTAGTGGAGCGGGCGACCCATAAACAGGGGCTGTAGTGGGTCATGGGTTCGACTCCTGCTCGTGACTCTTTGCTGCAGGTCTCTCCTCATTCTACTCCCCCCTTCCCTGTCTATCTCTACTGCTCTAAATAAAGGCAAAAAAGGCCCAAAAATATATTTAAACATCAAAATGGTTGTTTAATAATAGCTCAAAAGGTGTGAATAATTTTCTGATGCATAAAACTGCTTAAAATCAAATTAAACTGTTAAAAAAATCATCTTTATGCCGATTGATCTTTTAAAATAACCAAAAATTGTCCGTCATATTTCCCCGTCACTATTTTCCCGAGCCAGCTACTATCAATTACTAAGGCTGAGGTGCATCAGATCTTCCTGCAGATCAGTCTGACTGCATTTCAGCATCTTTCTGGTTCAGGCACATTTCACAGGCTTTTCTCATTCACTGAGGACTTGCGACAATCTGCCTAAAATCAAATTAAAGTGCTAAAAATCTTCTATTCAAAGAAGCAAAAAATAAAAAATAAAAAAAAGAAGCAAAACCCCCCAAACCCTCACTGTTGGTCTCCTAAAATGTCGTCATAATTATTCTCCTGCACACTGACCAGCTCGCCGTCTCTCACTCAGTATTATCATAAGATCAATGCTTTGTGCCCTCATCACTGCCAAAACACCGTCCGCTGGGTTCCCAGGCAACAGCATCCCTCCCCCCGTCGGTCCACATCCTCTTCCTCGCCTCCTTCGTCCTGATATCCAGCTCTGAGCTTGACGGTCTTGATGAATGCAGGGTCAGGACCGCTCGTGTCGTTCATTCGCCGACAGCAGGTGCGAGGACGCGACGTTTGAGGGGAAATTGGGTTTAAAATCTGGACATTTTTTTCACGCGACGCTGAACGAAGGAGCTGCAACACCTGCTGCTGCCGACAAATCGTACACATGCGTCACGTTTAACAGCCAGCTTTGACATTTTTCAGGCGTAGGTCACCCAGAGGTTTCTAAAAGCATGACGGGGGGGCTGGTAAAATCTATCCATCAATTTATTTACGCAAATTTAATCTTGTTTAAATCTTTTTCTGCAGTTTCAGTCCCATTGATCACACTTCTGCTGCCACAAAGGCTAGAAAACCCCTAAGTTTACAATATTTAATGCCTAATTTATGTGCCAATAAAAAGGTCTTTACATGTAACTCAGTGACGGCCGCAAAACCCTTTTAGTACCTTTGGAGTGCTACAGTTTATTCAAGTTAATCTAGTCTTGTTGTGCAGCTTTATCACACTGTTATTAACCTTTTAACTGATTATATTTAAATTAGATCAACAACACCTGCTTCTATCAGCCTAACAATTACACATTTTAGTCCGGTGAAGTAGGATTTTATGTCACTATAACATAATATAATAACATAGGGTTTAATATGTGAGAGGATCTGACCCAAACTTACTGACTGACCTGCAGCTGATAATCGCCGCTGCCTCTCAGTCTAATTGATGGGTTTGTCACGGCCAGATCTGGATTAAAGAAAGCTTCTGTGCCGCGCCGTGACCTTGACACCTCTCAGTCTTATTTAGTTCCCCGACATACAGTCGTCCTCAGATGTGTTCATCCCCTTCCATTAAAGAAAAGGCAAAATTCACAATAACTACTCAAATAACTAGAAACTGGAAAAAGTAATGATAATTAAAAATTTGCTAAATTATAATTGAATGAAATAAAACATTGCTTTTGAATTTTGGTTGAGAAGAAAAATAAAAAAAAACAAAACTGTCCTGGACTAATCAGAGCACTTTGCTGATGAGCAGTGAAATCAGAATATCTGTCAACAGGAGCAGAAGTCTGACTGAGAGTTACAGAAAACACCTGATGATGGCAGTGATTGGCTCAAAGGGTTGTTCAACTAAATATTAGTTTACGGGTCCCATCATGCTTGTTTTTTTATTTTTATTTATTTTTTTATATTTCTGTTGAACCACAATTCAAAAGCAACGTCATGATTTTCATTACATTTTTATTCATTATTACTTTTGTCAATTTCAACTTATTTCAGTGGCAGCTGTTTATTTCCTTCTTTAATGTGAGGCTATGAATACATTTGAGTACAAACGACAACAACAACTTCACAAACTTACTGCCTTATTCCACGTGTGTGTGGCTTAAAAATCTGTTCTTTAAAATACATTTTCAGATCTGGAATTTTACCAAAAACTCAGTATTTCTGCTGGAACTTAGTTTTGGGAAACCGGCAGCTGTCTCGTATTTAAAGACGACTTTGTAAATCTTTCTCACTGGATTGTGGGTGGTTTGTAGCACTGATGACTGACAAGTGTGTTTAAAGTGAATCTTTAGGAGCCAGGGCTCCAGCGTCCTCTTCGTACACGCTTCTTCTACGTCTGAATACATTTAAGGATTCGAGGATTCTTTACTGTCATACCAGCAGACGATGGCTCGGAATCAGTGCTCAGGTTGTAAGCCAGTAGAATAAATATTAAAAAATAAAGAAATAACGAGAGCTGAAGTTGGTTGTAAAACCCTACGGCGGTCTGCATTGACGCAAAACGAACTCTGTACAAACGTTAGCGCTTCTAATGCAGTCAAAAGGCCCCAGAAAGGTGCTTGTAAGCTGGAAAATAAAGTAGAGCTTTCTCACATTAGTTCAGGATTAGAATTTGCTCTATACACAGCTCCAGCATCCGTCCATGTTTAGTCATCTGCTGCCCTGTTACGTGAACACACTCATAGCTTAACTGTCACGTAGATAACCAGCTTTGTGCGACTGTTTGGTTGAGTGAAGTCAAAAAACGAAAAGACGTCGTGTGTACGCTGAACTTGCTCCCTTGATTTAAAAGTAGCTGATTTTAAGTTCATGAATTACATTTCAGTTGAGCACTTTCATGCAGGAGTTAAAAAAACAAAACATCATCAGACTAATGCTGGAAATGTGACTCTGCGTTTACCAGAACTTTTATAAAATAAAATGTTTTGGATTTTTTATGCCAGTAACTCATCCGATTGTGATTTAGGACAGCTGCTCTAAGACCACTCAGTAGATTGTCCCCCCTCTGAAGCTGTCCTACCAGTCTCTCCTCTGCCGACAGCGTCCTGAACTGTCCCATGGCCTCTTTGATGATCTCCGTCTCCTCCAGCTCCGGGTTGTCGGCCACGATGTTCTTCCTGTTCTCCTCCAACCACAGCTGGAAGCCCGTCTTCGGCCTGAAAACACACACACAAGAGAAAACGCTGCCTTTTAATAAAATAAAAATCCGAGCAGGATTCCAATAAAGAGATTTCATTTTAAATCTTGGACCTTTTGCTCTCTGTGTTGTCTGCAGGCGATGCTGGCGGCGGAGCGTCTGGTTGTTTCCGTTCTACAGCCGGTTCTGTGTTCTCCTGAGTCTTCTTAGTGAGCGCTTTACTGCTGGTCATCTGCAGCAGAGTGGACTGAGTCTGCAGAGAAACGTTTTACACTCAGACGAGCGTCATGCATGGAAACACCTGTAGCTTTAATCAAGCCTTCGTGATAACGAGGCCTCGGCACAGAAACGCCTTCAGGATGCGACTGTGGAAACATCTCAGCGTTTTCTGGGAGGTTTGCAGATGAAGCTACCTTGGTCTTGGCTCGAGGTGCCAGTGGTTTGAGGACGGGGGTTTTGTT